GGAGTGGTTGTGCACTACTTCTGTTCTAAAGAGGTAAACCCAGCTGACACCTGAGCCCAGCATCCCAGGGATTCAGCAGATGGACAGCTTGGCTCTCCCGGAGAGGTGAAGGAGCACCTGGCCTTAGAATTGTGGGCTGCCACCACCAGACGTCTCCTCATTTGGACACTACCAGCTATCTTGCGCCCTGGAACATCTCTGAATTAATTAGACTACTGGTCTGGCATTACCAGCTTTTTAATAGAAAAAGAGATTAGTAATACCTTATACCATTATGTTGAATTCCAGAGAATTCAGTACCTACTTAGGCAAGAGGAGGTGTGCCGTCTTGCCTTGGCACACCAGTCACCAGAATGAGGAAACTTGTCTCAAGTGTTTGTAACCACAGGGTTGTTTATTGAAGGTTTTTCTGTTAAGGTAAGTGCACAATTTCACAAGGACCCCTCGGTGTGGCTGTCTGCAGAGTCCTGTGAGAGGACAGCACCTGAGCTAGTCTGGCTGCATAGCCGGAAGGGCTCATTTTCCGTGTGGTGCCAGTTGTCTCTCCATGGCAGCCGTGCCCCGTGGCCCTCAGTAGCCTCCCTGCTCACCCCGTTAGTTTCCAGTCTTCTTTCTTTCTCGCCATTTATGTTCCCCTCACTGCCCCATCTGGACTTTCTCTCCCACTTCCGTGACTCCAGGAATGGCTAGTGTGTAAACAAGGTAAGGTAATAATCAAGAGAAGTCTCAGTTCCCAGGAGTCCGTTGCTAGTTGATTGCCAGGTGTGTCGTAAATAGATCCTCCTTACACTCCATGCCTGGATGCCCAGGGAGCGCCATCCTCTGCCTAGAAGAGGGCCTGTGGACCTGCCCTCGGGCCAAATGTGACCATAGCTCCCGAGGATGGGCTGGCACTGTGCAGGGGATGTGGTCCCCTAGACACACGCCTGTAGGACACCTGCTCTGCTTCACTCACTGGCCGCTTGGGCAGTTGGTTCAGTCTTTGCAAGTGGAGTTCTTTGTGCTTTGGGCACCTTTCTCTTTTTGCAGCCAATTTCTGTTCACTTGCCTTACAGCTTTACAGCCATTGTTCCCCAGCTTTGTTTTGCAGGGTTTGGAGGATTACACTGGGATAGCGTAGGAAGGTGGATCTCTGCTACACGCAGAGATAGATCAGAGCAAGAACTGGCAAAATGTGATGCCAGGTGTGCTTGCAAGGCGCTCAGAGATAGCAGAGAGAACGCGGGAGGGCAGGAGCAGCGGCACACGGGTTTATAAAATAACTCACCACCATATCTGTCGAACACTGCAGGGGACCCTGCCAGAGGTGCACAGGCTAGAGTTGCTAGCACAACAGACCGGGGTCACATGAGGAGCGTGGTCCTGCATCCCGTCCTCCCTGGGTTCATTGCAGGCTCCAAGTCTTGTGGCCCCAGTGTCTTCAGTGGGAGTGAGGGTGGGTAATGGTGCCCAACGCTGACAGTTTTAGTGGCCTGTCCTTGGCATGCCTTGTCCTTTGTGAACTGTGGCACCGTGCTGTGTTCCAGGCTGACTTGCTGGCGGTAAGTAGACAGGGCTTCCCCCAGGCACGCTGTCTGTGGGGGTCTGAAGAGAGAGAGAGAGTGCCATCTGCACCATTCACAGACATGGAGGACTGTACTCGGGTTTGCGAGGCCGGGCGGCACTTCACAAGAGCTCCGTGGACCAGCGTGTGGAGACAGAAAAGCCACCGTCCCGACTGGCCATACCCACAAGAAGCAGTACTGCCTGTGGCCACATCTGTGCCAGCTGGGACTGCACTTCCTCCGGGAGCATCAGGGAAGCGCTGGGCCCAGCCTCCGCTGCACAGCAGGAACTCAAGCGCCACACAATCCCCGCCTTCCTGGCCGGCTGTGTCTTCTTTTCTCACAAACTATGTCGGAAGCAATAGCATAAGGAATATGTGTTTTCTTCCCTTCTGGTACACATTCACACCCCGTTCCCCACACTCCATTCTTCCTTCCCTAGACTCTCCCTCCACAGAGGTATGGAGAAGGCCGGAGACGAAAGCCCTCTTACGAGGACAGATGGAGATCTCCTAACCACTCCTCATAATAAACCCAATAAAGCAAGAAACCAAGCTTATCTGGGTCTCTTTTTTCCCCCTTCCTATGGAGTTTGAGGAAAATAACAATGAAAGGATAGTAACTTAGCTAAGAGTTAGAATAATAAGCCAATCAGTAACTAAGAAAAATGTCAGTAGAGCACTTCTCACTTCTATTACGTGTGTCTTGTTTTTTTATTGCCCTCTGTAGGCTGGATATTACATGTCTTGATGTGTGCTACCCAGTAGAGCGAGTGTGGCTAATGGCTGATGTATTGATAGCACAGATACAGAACATTTCACAAAGTCCTGCTGAACACACTGGAACTCTAGAGGATATGAGTGTTGCCCCTTCAGTGGTAGGGCCTCGGGCCTCTCCTGCAGCTCATGATGACTGGGAGGAAACAAGGGGTGTCTGAGAAGTGAGGAAGTGGTCCACTTTAGCCAGCTCCAAAAACACAAGGTCCTTCTGTATTGTCCCCCTCTTGAGCTGTTTGTGGTCATCCTGAGTTTTCTGGGAATGAGAACATCTGGAACTAAGACTCGTGACTTTGTCGAGGCGTGGGGCAGATGACTTCCGGAGAGAGTGTGGTACAGTCCAGAAAGCATTCACATCAGTCAGGAGCCTGGCCCCCAGGCCTGGCTCTGCCACCAGCCAGCTCTCTGCCCTCCCGCCTTGGGCTCCTCTGATGTGGATCCACAGGTCCCCTGCACACATTCACAGAGATAACCAAGGCGGCTGGACTCCCATTTCTGAGACCCCAGCCCACGTCCTGGCTTCACAGTCCAAATTAAGCAGAAACAGACCCTGCCTTGGGGCCCGGCACTGGCAGTCACATTCCATTTTGTTCTGGGAATTTCTGGTCTGAACTTGCCCGGTTGGTTCATTGTGGAGTTGAATTACCTCTTTTTGGATGTATTTTCAGCCTGTGACACGAGGCCTTGGGAAGAGTGTGGAGATGACTGAATGTTGGTAGAAGGACAGAAATCTATCTCCCGCAGTTCACTGCTCCAGAGATCCTTACTCTTACTGGAGAATGTGCCTGTCTCAGCCATTTAGATGGTTGTGATCCACAGAAAAGGGGACATCACATACTATCTGCAGCCTGAAGTCTACAATGGTCAGAAGAGGTGTCTCTAAGCCTTTCTCTATCTAGTAGCTGAAGGCCTTGCAGATTTGTTTTTTGTCCTTATTTATGCCACCTGACCAAATTCTTCTCTGCACCTGGACACTGTGTGGCGTGCTCTGTACACACTCCAGGGAGAGGCCTGGGCAGAAGCCGCAGGGAGTCACGAGGCTGTGAATTCTTGAGGAGGTAGACGGGCTCTCCTCACCTTTGCGTTCTTGGGCTGGTACAGGTCTGGCACATGGCAGGCTCTCAGTGTTCGGGGAGTAAATGAGGGAGGCTGAGAGAGATGAGAACTGAAAGGGTGAATGAATGACCCAAAAGACACATTTCACACACAGGCTATGTGAGAGCAACATGGCTGGTTTATTCACCCATGTGTGGGTAGGCTGAGTCCAAAAAGAGAGCAGAGAAGAGGGTTTAGTGAGGGTTTTTTTTTTTTTGAGACACAGTCTTACTGTGTTGCCTGGGCTAGAGTGCCGTGGCGTCAACCTAGCTCACAGCAACCTCAAACTCCTGGGCTCAAGCGATCCTCCCGAGTAGCTGGGACTACAGGCATGTGCCACCATGCCCAGCTAATTTTTTCTATATAGTTTTAGTTGTCCGATTAATTTCTTTCTATTTTTAGTAGAGACGGAGTCTCGCTCTTGCTCAGGCTGGTCTTGAACTCCTGATCTCAAACAATCCACCCGCCTCGGCCTCCCAGAGTGCTAGGATTACAGGCGTGAGCCACTGCGCCCGGCCGTTAGTGAGGATTTTTATAAATGGGGATAGCCGACCCCCTGCCCTGTTCAGTTTTTTTTCTGGGCCAAACTGGCAGGTGAAGAATTGTTTCCTGCTACGTGCAGCAGAGGACGGTGGGCAGAACAGCTGTTTGTAGTAAATTCTTCAAAGAGCCAACTCCTACGACCTCTTTGCCCCAGTCGCATCCATCCTTCTGCTCGGGCATTGTCCTTGTCAGGAGAGCTAGGGAGGGATAGCCTTGGTCTCCATCAGGGAGGGAGGGGAAGGAATGCTGGCTGCAGCTGCCTGTCAGATCTACTAGGGGGAGATAAACTTCCTCTCTATCAGGGAGGGAGGGGAAGGAATGCTGGCTGCAGCTGTCTGCCAGATCTACAAAGTCCAGGGACTCCCCAGACTCCTGCGGCTATTGTTTTACAAGCCTGAGTTTTGCATTAACTACATTCTGTCCTATACATACTTTTCAGGTTCCCACCTGGAATAAACCTAACAAGAACCATTTTTGAGTCCAAATGGAACACTAAACCAAAGATTCCCATGCTGCCTTCTACTTAAGAGCCGTGGGGAAGGTGGGACTTGAAGAGTGGTTGGTTTAGGCCTTTTTGACAGCTGGAGAAGACTAGTCCCCAGTACGGCGCTGCCCAGCTAACGTTCCCTGGGCCGGCTGTGTCAGAGGGCTTGCTGGAAATGTGAATACTTGGGTTTTTCCCCCTTGCACTCAGACCAGGGAGGATGAGGTTCAGGCCTCTATTTCTCACAAGCAGCCCAGTGATAACCAGGGGGTGGGTTTGGGAACCAGGGTGCTAACCAGAGACTCCAAGAGTCTTGGAGAGGAGGGACTGAACTGCCTCCTGCCTGAGGAAATTAGGCTCCAGCCACTTCCTAGAGCATGTCAAACCCCACCTCCAGCCCCATGGGGCCACCCAGCGCTGAGTCCTCAGGAGAGCAGGCAGCTCCACCCTCCCCACCCCAGTGCTACCTGTCAGACCTGAGCTAGCAGCGCGGTAGCCAGAGAGCAGGGCGGCTCTGGAAAGCAGGCAGGGCTCCCTGCTGGGCCTGGCTGCCTGGCCATGCTCTGGGCACTCTGGCCAAGGTGGCTGGCTGGCAAGGGGCTGCCCCTCCTGGGGGCAGTGCTGCTGTGGAAGAGAGAGAAGAGGGGTCCTCGGTGGCCGCGGGTAATGTACCTGATCTTACCTGGGAAAGTGGACTGGAGGACTCCTGGGAGCTGCAGTCCTCTGTGAGGACCAAGGCCAGCCCCAGCACTGGAGGTTTGATTTGGTGCAGGACCTATTTCTTGCAGATGACCTGGCAGAATTTAGAGAGATTGGCCAAGACCTTGGCTTTTGAAAATAATCCCCTCCAATTAGGAAATGGAGGGCAAGGTCACATGACACTTGTCTTTGGTTGGGTGGTTTTTGCCAAGAATGCTCTGGTTTGACTGTAGAACCCACCATAGGGAGGAGGAATAAGGAGCCTGTTGGGATTGTAAGGAATAGTTTCACTCCTAGGAAGTTGCACCCTGATGTTATCTCTCCTGAGCCCGGCTGCCATCTCCTCAGCGACTCACCAGACCAGTATAGTCTGGGTGACTCTTGGCTTCTGCTCACCTGCCCACTGACCTGGGCGGTCTTCTAGGCTTTGTCAGGGAGCTATTGGGTGGGGTGGGTCACAGCTTTCCCTTTTAATATTTAATCTCCTCAAACACATTACACAAACACATTGTAGCTCCCAAGCTACAATGGGGGCCCAGTGGCCTAGGGGGGCTATAAGTTTGTGGTGTGTGATAACCATAGTTCAGCTAGTCCCTGCTGGAGCTTAGATTTGAACCCAGGCCTGATGGATTCGGGGGTCTAGGCACGTCACCAAGGTGCTGAACTCCCAACACCTAAGCCCTGGCAAAGTCTCCCTGGTACCCACACAGCGACATCAGTGACCCTGTGCCAGGCTGCTGCTCCATGATGGGGAACTCTGAGCTGGGAGCCACTGGAGGGAGGGGACCAGGCCCCACCCTGGCTCCCTGGAACTGAGTCCTGGAGTTCTGTTGTTTCAGCAGGAAACCCACCCATACTATGACCTCCAGGTGAAGGTGCTGAGGGCCAGAAAGATCCGGCGCGCAGACCTGTGTGAGTGACCCCATCTCCACTCCTCCCCTTCCTTTCCCTGGGGCCTCCTCAGAGCTCAGCTGGGGCTGGCCTGAAGGGAGCGTGAGTGTGTGTGTGTTAGTGCATATAAGTGTGTGCGTGAGAGTGAGTGTGTGGGGGCGGGGCTGGTGCTGGCCCTGTGAGGGGCAGGTGGGCAGGAGCTGTGCAGACCCCGGACTCCTCCCTGAGTCTAGGAAGTGCCTCCCTGGGTGAGGTGTGAGGCCAGCTGTCGCTGCAGGTCAACACCTGCTCTCCGGGAGCTTTCCATGCCAATGCTCACGCAGGGAGGGAATTTTATTACAGGAAGCAGGCAATATCTGGGAATTACTCAATAGTCTGTGTGGCCACATGATCTTTCCAACTGGCCGCTGCAGGATTTCTGTTCAGTTGAATGAGAGGTGTAACTAGTTAAAATGGAGTCGAGGACACCAAAACTCTCCCCCCACCTCCTCACCCCGTCACACCATGTGGGCAGCCTCTTCTCCCCGCTCTGCTCCTTCCCGTCTGCCCCAGCCTCCTCCAGGAAATCTTTCCAGCAATAAGAGCTTGAGGTTGAGGCCCCTCCCCTGTCATACCTGCAGTGTCCAAAGCCGACTGCTACGTACAACTGTGGCTGCCCACGGCGTCCCCCAGTCCTGCCCAGACAAGAACAGTGGCCAACTGCAGTGACCCCGAGTGGAACGAGACCTTCCACTACCAGATCCATGGCGCTGTGAAGGTGAGGCCAGCACGGCAGGGGCTGTGGAAGGAGGGGAGCTCCTCAGGTTCCGCCTTCCTGTCCTACCTCAGCCCTGACTTCCTCCCTGCCCTGTTCCCAGAACGTCCTGGAGCTCACCCTCTATGACAAGGATGTCCTGGGCAGCGACCAGCTCTCCCTGCTCCTGTTTGACCTGAGGAGCCTCAAGTGTGGCCAACCCCACAGACACACCTTCCCGCTTGACCACCAGGTGAGCCCACCAGTGCTGGCAGAGAGCCTGGCACGGGGCCGCCACGAGGGGGCTCTGGGAAGTACAGGACAGGCCTTCCTCCATCCCACAGCTCTGACCCTGTCAAGGTTTCCCTCCAGTGCTTCTTCCTCGCATGAAACCAAAGTGTGAGCTCCTTGAGGGCAGTATGTTGTCTGTCTCAGCCACCACTGAACCCTCAGTGTCTAGAACAGCGACTAGCACATATTTTGGAATGAATGAGGTTCTGTGTGGAGATGCCACTGCCCCTCGTGTGTCCTTGACAAGCCACGATAACAGTATCCCCTTCCAGTCCCTGGAGCTGAGCAGGGCTAGGGGGCAGGGACAGTCCTGGAGGCTTTCAGAGCCTTTTAAAAATCAGTGCTCCCTGCTCCCCCCACGCAGGATTCACAAGAGCTGCAGGTGGAATTTGTTCTGGAGCAGAGGTGAGTCCAGGCAGAGCCAGTGCCCTCCTATTTACTCTGAGACTCAGAGATTTGAGTCACGGGAGCTCCCAGCTGCCAGTCAACCCGTCCCGCTCTGGCCTTGCAGGCCTGGCCTGAGAAGGGATGGCCTGGTCTCGACCTCCATTTGCATGTTGGACGACAGGTCCACCCACCCCCAGCCCCTGCCACGCTCCCCAGGTTCTTCCAGCTGCTTTGGTCACATTATTATTGCAACGGCCACCTCAAGGGGGCCAGATGTCCCATGAGCCCCTCATCCTTTGCAGCCAGGTGCCTGCGTCTGAAGTCATCACCAATGGGGTCCTGGTGGTGAGTAGGGAAGGCGAGCTTCAGGCTGTCCCGGGCGGGGGGCTGCGAGGAGTCCATGACTGAGCCTGTCATGCCCACGTGCTTCTGAAGGACCCTCAACCCCTCCTCAGAGGGGAGATGTGCTAGGGAGGCATCTCCAGAGACGGACAAGAAGCTGCCTGGCACTTGGGTGGACAGCCAGGACCAGGCTTCCCACCTGTGCGCAGCACATTACTCACTTGGGGTCCTGGCGGCGGGGACTGCCCAAGGAGCCGCTATCATGGCCCCTCACCTCCTCCCCTTTCCCTACCAGGGCCCACTTCCCTGAGTCCTGGGGGCTGGTATGACCTTGGGGCCTGCTACAGAAGACCCCTACCCACAAGGCCCTGGGATGCCTGTTTTCCGGACCCTGCCCCAGATACCCCTCCCTCCCTCCATGGTGGTTGGGGCCCTGTGAAGGGCCCTGTGGGCTATCTGGCTCCCACAGGCCTCTGCTTTCTGCAGGCTCACCCCTGTCTGAGAGTCCAGGGCACCCTCTGGGGAGATGGGACGGCCCTGCATCGAGAGTACGGTGAGTCTGGTTGGTGGCCTTGGGTCTTGCCTTCTCTCCTGGACTTGGGGCTGCTGATGTCAAGGAGGTGGGTCTAGGACAGGAAGTTTCTAAATTTTTCACTGCTCAAAGCTGACGAAGGATGGAATGGATTGCTCTGGACGTAGTGAATTTCCTGTCCCTGAAAGTGTTCAAGCATACAGTTTGTACTGGTCCAACTATTGCTCCACAACAAACCCCACAAAATCTTGGTGGCATTCAAGAAACGTTTACTTAGCTCACAGATCTGGTGGTGAGCTTGTGCTAGGCCAGTGAAGGCCAGGCTTGGCAGGAGTGGCCTAGCTCTGCTCCATGTGTCTCTCATCCTCCTTCTGGGACCAGCAGACTACCCTGGGCATGTTCTCAAGGCATCAGCAGAGGTGCAGAGAGCAAGCCCAATTGAGCAAGTGCTTGTCAAGTCTTTGGTCACATCCTGGCCACTAACTAACATGTTATTGGCCAAAACAGGTCCCATGGTTGAACTCCAAGTAGGAAGGCTGGGAATATAGTCAGCCTCTTTAGTGGGAGGGGTCACAGGGCAAAGAGTGAGAACACTGAGGACATGAAGAACTGGGGCCATCAATGCAGAGTGCCACAGAGGGCAGCCACCCATGGGGGGTGGGATGTGGGACTGCAGTGGAGGCTGTGCGACAGCTAAGGTCCCTCCCAGTCCTGACAGTCTGAGTCCTGCCCAGGTAATGTCGAGCACTTACTCTGCGTCAGGCACTGTGCTAAGCATTTTACATACATGTTATCTTGTCATCCTCATAACAACCCTGTAAGGTAGTGCAATCATTATTCTCTTTTAATTCACAAGACCAAGGCTCAAAGAAGAACTTTGCTTAAGGTCACACAGACAATAAGTAGTAGAGCCAGGATCAAACCCAGGTCTGTGACACTCCAGGGCCCATTCTCTTAATCAAAGATTCTATCGTTTCTTCTTACGAATGGCACATTTCCACCTCAGTCCACAAACTTTGGTGTGAATGGAATGTCACTTTCCTGATTTTCCCTAAGTTCCTCCTGCCTCAGGGTTATGACGAGTCCCTGGGTCTCATCTAGAGCAAGGAGCTGCACTGAGGGGTGGGACCCCATCTGGACCTCTGCTCCTCTGGTATCTGCCATCCTTGCACCCTTAGGGTTTCTGTTGCTTCCATGTCGTATTTGGGGTCAGGGACTTTTGTGAGACTGCCTGTGGTCCCCTCTTCCGGGCTGTCACGCATAGCCATTTCTCTCTGGGGTCTGGCCTCCTCCCTAGAAAGCTGTTGGGAAGCAGGGCAGGAAGCCCACAGGCCCACCCTTCACCCTCCTGGCCTGGGCCTATCTTCTGGCCCAGCTTGCCCTCCATCTTCCCCAGGATGGAAGTCCTCTCTGTACCCACAAATCCCATTCCTCCTTTGACCTCCTCTGCGAGCCTCTTACCTTCTCCCAAGGTCTTACACTTTTGGAAACAAAGGCGAGAATGACCTGCAGCCTATTGTTTTCTCTCTGGCCACAAACCTCCTCCAAGGCAATGAGCACAGAGCCTCAATGGAGGTAAGAGATGAGGGAAACCACCAGTTGAAAACTGGTAATTAATATAATAATGACTCTATAAATTTATATAATTATACATTATATAGTTAATATAATAATCTCAAAACCACCAGCCCTGTGGGCTGTGGGCAGTGGCCCTCTCCCTCCCTGTTCCCTGCCTTTCCCCCTTCCCTAGGCATTTGTGTATTTCCCACCCTCCTCCGGGGTCCCAGTTCTGGCCAGGACAGGTTATAGGACCCCAGGAGTTCTTCATGATGTTTTTCCCATGATCAGTGGCTAAGAGTGAGCAGGGTGATAAGAGTTGGCATTTCCCAGGGGAAGAGAAGAACAGACTTGTTGTTGCTTGGGTGTTGCCATGATGAGTCGCACGTGCATGGACCCACACTCACACTCACCTGGGCCCTCTGTTCTCAGGCTCTAGGCAGCTCCAGCTGGCAGTGCCCGGGGCCTATGAGAAGCCACAGCTCTTACCCCTGCAGCCTCCTGTGGAGCCAGGCCTCCCACCCACCTTTACCTTCCACGTGAACCCGGTGCTGAGTTCCAGGCTAGATGTGGAGTTGGGGGAGAAGCTCACGGTTCTGCAGGTGAGTGAACCATGGGCAAAGGGCGGGGTCATAGAATTGGCTCAGCCTAGAGGAGCGTTCCAGAGCCACGCTGGAGGCATGTTTTCTTCCATGCTGGAGAGCTCCTTGGGTGTTTTCTCCTCCCAGAGTGGCCCGAATGCGGAGCCAGAGGCTCAGAGCAGCAAGCTGGGCAAGGGAGGCATCCCGCTGTCCTCTCTGCCCATAGGCCGGGAGGAGCAGCGCTTCGTGGTCCTAGGGGAGGTAAGGCCCTGCCTGTGTGCTGGAGGGTGCTCTGCGACCACCAAGAGGGGGCTGGGGGAAGGGCCTGAGAGGCAGGGCAGATCAGGCCAGCCTGGAGCTCAGCTGTGACGACCACACTGGGCCAGAGTTACCCGAGCAATGGGACTGCAGGGGGGAGGCCATTTCCCCGGGAGCACCCCACTCAGCGTGCTCAGGGATGGGCTTGCCATCTCTTTCAGGGCCAGGAGGTGGCTCTGAGTGTGAAGGTGGAAATGAGGTGAGGTGGAACTTCAGGTGGAAGGCCTCTTGGGGCTGGGCTGAAGTGTGGGAAAATATCCCAGAGTGTTCTGCTCTCCTGCCCACGGAGCTCAGGCTGTGAGGGTGGCGCCTTCCCCTCCCCAGTGCTGGTGTTGGTGGGAAGTCCCTTGAGGTATTTCTGAGGGTTTCCTCAGAGTGTGGGCCTGCTCCTGTGAAACACAGGCTGGGCCTGAGGCTCTCTTCCACTGGACAGTCACCCAGTACCCCACCTCCACCCCACTTGAGGCAGCTCTGGGGACCTGGACCTGCGCCTTGGCTTTGACCTCAGTGACGGGGAACAGGAGTTTCTGGACAAGAGGAAGCAGATTGTGTCCAAGGCCCTGCAGCAGGTGCTCGGATTAAGTGAGGCTCCAGAGACTGGCCAGGTATGGAATGGAGGAGGAGCTCCATCTGGTCCTCAGGGTCACTCTTCCCTTGAAAGGACTAATATGGCCAAGAGGTGACAGGAAGCCCAGTGGAAGCATGGGAACGTAGGAAGCAGGGAGCTAGCCTGTTCATCTGAGCTGATGAGTGCAATCAGGAGAGTCAGGACCGTATGTGGAACGAGGGGCTGAGCAGCCCTGGCCAAGGGTGGATGTCTTCTTAGTCTGTTCGGGCTGCCATAACAGAATACCACAGACTGGGTGACTTAAACAACAGACATTTATTTTCTCACAGTTCTAGAGTCTGGAAATCCAAAATCAAGGTTCCATCCATCAGGATTGGTTTCTGATGGGGCCTCTCCTCTCTTCATTTTTTTTTTTTTTTTTTTTTTTTT